CTGTTCAGCTAGATTTCAGGAGATTCTGATGGTCGTTCTGTATTTTAGTTGTAATTTTGATGTGGTTGCGGGAGGTGGCAGGTACAGCTGTTACCTATGCCGCCATCTTGTTTCCTGTCCTCCATAATGTTTTTTAAATAAGTTAAAAGATAGCTCATGGATAAAGCTTCTTTACAAAGCAACCTCATAATAAGCTTCTCACCTACATTTTCAGCCTTCTCCAATCTGTCTTCCATCCTATAGCTCAAGTGCCTTTTTCTGAAAACAAACAAAAAAAACACCTGGGAAGCGGTGTGTTGAATAAGAGTAAACAGTTTTCTTTACAACAGGACACTCATAGCTTTTCCTCTGCTACTGTCTGTTGTAAATCTCTAAGACAGACTAGACTGTGGTTTCCTAAGCTGACTTGACTGTGGGCCCTTTATCTCTTATTTTGAGCATGCATTCATCAATATTACAGCTGATACCAAGGTATCTTGGAGCACAATTAGGGTAATGATACTCCAGTCTCATCTCTCAACAGGCCTGTCCTTGCCCCACCACCACATCTCCCTTCCCTGCCTTTTTTCTTGCTGTCCTCTCTTCTGTCACATACTCCTCTCGCCAACTGGCACACCCCCTCCATTGTGCAGACTCAGCTTAGGCATGGCCTCCACTGGGACATTGCCCTCTATTGTCCCTCAGCACTCTGCATACATGTGGTAAGGCATAGGTCACTCTTGTAACTGTCAGTTTGTCAGTATTCTTTACTAGACTTTAATAAGAGCTGAACTTTGGGGGGTACCTACTGTGTGATAGGTACTGTACGGAGCATTTTATGTATTTTTTTAACCATATCACCAGTATTGAATGGTATTTATAATTTTTAAAATCTAAAACAGCCATTTATTATTACAAAATCAGTTTATGTTTATGGTAGAAATGTTAGAAAGTACAGATCAGCAAAAATAAGAAAATGAAAATACCATAAACCTTACCATCACAGATTGCCACTGTTAACATGCTATTACACTGTAATGTGCCAGAAAACTTACAGCCTGAAAGAGTTCTTCTTAATGTTGTAAATATATTGTGTTTATTGAGCTCTGTTTATAGTATATCATTGGACTGTGGATTTCTACTAATTAGTTTAAGAAGCAAATATTCATGTGAGATAATTCTAAGAATTGTCTTTCAACAATAGTACATAAGATTAATAGTGTTTTATTTAAAAAAATAAAATAATAAAAAAAGATCAATAATGTTTTTTTCCTTAAAATGTTTAATAATATTTTCTCTCCATTTTGAAGCCTGTGAGACCCATGGGTGAACTGAAGTATATTTTTTTATATCAAGTTAGGTTAAGTATCTTTTTATAATGTTTTGTTGTTTTGTGTTAAGGGGCCATTTAAAACTAACAGTTCGGTATTTGAATTTTTCTAACAACCTTGTGGCAGCCTTTTGTATCCCTGGTCCATTATACAGGATGGGGCAAAAGTAGGTTTATAGTTGTCTGTGAAGCACAGAGTTTATTTTTGTATTATTATTTATTAATTACTGTATTATTTTCCATACAAACAACTGTAAACCTACTTTTGCCCCATCCTGTATACCCATGGATTAATTTCTATCAGGCATTCTCACATTACTTCCATTTTTTTTTTTTCCATGGGAGTCTTCACATGTAATGGTCTGAGCCAGTTCAAGTCATTTACATTTAAGAGGTTTTATCCAATGAGTCCTTTCATGTGTTCAAAAGAAATTGGGATAACTGAAAACTCCCAAATGCTGAAATTTTAAATGGTCTCTCTTCAGTGTGCATTGTCATGTCTTCAAAAAGTTGTGTGATAAATGAAAGTTTTTCCATGTTCCTTACATTCATAGGGTTTCTCTCCAATATGAGTTATTTCATGTGTTTGTAAGGAACTGGGACCTCTGTAGGCTTTACCACATTTTTTTTACATTCAAAGGGTTTCTCTCCAGTGAGATTTCTTCTGTTTTTGAAGATCACTGGGATGCCTAAATGCTTCACTATATTTTTTATTTATATGGTTTCTCTCCACTGTGATTCATGTGTTTGAAACCTTTGATAATATCTGAAGCCTTTCCCACATTCCTTACATTCATAAGGTTTCTCTCCAGTATGAATTATTTTGTGTCTTTTTAAGGAAATGTGATCTCTGTAGGCTAAAACCACATCCCTTATATTCATAGGGTTCTTGCCTGTGACTCACCTTTGGGATGTTGGTAGGACACTACAATATATGTAGGCTTTACCACATTGTTGACATTCATAAGGCTTTCTGCAGCATGAGTTCTTTCATGTATTCAAAGAGAACTGAAGAAAAGGAAATGCTAGTACACTGCTGGTGGGAATGCAGATTGGTGCAGCCACTATGGAACACAGTATGAAAATTTACTCAAAAAGTTAAAAATGGAACTACCATTTGACCCAGTGATCCCACTTCTAGGAATATATCCTAAGAAGCCCAAGGCACCAATCAGAAAGAATATATGCACCCCTGTGTTCGTAGCAGTGTTATTTACAATAGCTTAGATCTGGAAACAGTCCAAATGCCCATCACTAGATGAGTGGATAAAAAAACTGTGGTACATTTACACAGTGGAATACTACGCAGCTGTAAAAAAGAATTTCTTACCCTTTGAGACAGTATGGGTGGACCTGGAGATTATTATGCTGAGTGAAATAAGCCAGTCAGAAAAACACAAATATCACATGATCTCACTTATAAGTGGAATCTAATGAACATAATAAACTGATGAACAAAATAGATCCAGAGACATGGAACAAACTGACATCTCGGGGAAGTGGGAGGAGGATTAACCAGAGAACTCACATACATATATGCATAACCAATGGACACAGACAGTAGTGTGATGAAGGCCGGGGGAGGGGGGGCAGGATCTGGGAGGAAGAGGGTAAGCGGGGGAATTCGGGGACATCTGTAATAGTATCAACAATAAAATAGAATTTAAAGAAAAAGGAAACCAACTCTCCAGCCCTCCCACACACCCTCAGCTAAATGGTCTTGCTCTGGGTTAGCAACCCTATGTAACAGTGATTTCTAGGGCTGTCTGTGGTTTATCACTCTCATCGCCGAAGCCGTTTCAGTCTGCTATATCAACTGTGAACCCTTCCCCTGTTCAAAGTGTATTCATGGAGGCACTGTTATGTAGGTATCAGTATAGCAGGTCTCAGGGAGATGCCAAGTAAAGGGAAAGCATAGGCTATATGCTTGAAGCTGTTTAAGTCCAATCTAGTCCAATAGGGAAATTAGTAAGGACCTCTTTGCCCTGCATATTATGTTAGATGCCCCCAAGGACACAGATTTGTAGGGGATTGGATAAGAGATTATTTACGACGTTAAAATACTGATCTTTAAAAAGAGAGAAGACTGAGAAACTGAAGGCTTTACTACATTTTTTACATTCGTAGGGTTTCTCATGTGTGAGTCCTTTCATGTGTTTGAAAACTTTGATGATATCTATAGACTTTTCCACATTGTTTACATTGATAGAGTTTCTCTCCAGTATGGGTTCTTTCATGTATTTGAGGTGAAATTGAAGAACTAATGGTTTTCCCACATTCCTTACATGTATAGGTTTTTTCCTCTTTTGTGATTTCTTGTTTTTGAAAACACTGGAGATAACTGAGGATTTTCCCACATATGCCATTTATATGGCTTCTCTCCATAACTCTGGTACTCAAGGCTTGTGTCCAGTTTGACATCTGATGTGCATATTATGGGATGAATAATGCATAAAGACTTTTGCACACCCACTATATTCCCATGGTTTTACTCTAGAAGAGTGTTTTTGCTCAGGTTGAAATTTGGAATGAAGCCGAAGTTTTCTTTACATTGACTATCCTCTTTCCTGTCACAGATTCTACCATATGATTTCTTAGTTTTCTGCCCTGGTTTTTGTATTAATCTTTAATGTCGTGCTCTTCCTGTTTTTTTCCTACTGAGGCCAGGTTCCTGAAGTTTTCTCCCATCACATCTCTATAGAGTTCCTTATATGAAGGATCCTGTAAAGCCCACCCCTCCAGAGTGAATTTCACAGCTGCATCTTCAAAGGCCACTAAGTCCACTTCTAGGTTTCCTGGGCCTCCCTGAATCCTTCCTATACATATCACAGCAGGAGAGACACTGTGGCACAGCAACTAGGACCGTGAAGGGCAAGCAGCAAGCATCCTCCCAGCATGATTTGTTAAAAAGACTGTTCTTTTCCCCCATTGAATTACCTTGACACCTTTATTAGGAGTCAGTTTATCATGAATGTGTGATTCTTTTTGCCGGCTCCTCAAAAGCTTCTGTCAGCCTCCTTGAACTCCACACTCTGACTCTTTAGCTCAGCAGTCCTGCTGTTCTTTATTTGGGGTTCCCCTCCCTACACCAAGGTCCAGAATATGCCTCCAGGCAGAAAGTCAAGCTGAACATGGGGCTCACCTCCCTTGTTTCTCTTCTCTCAAGGACCAGTATTATGTTGCCTTTTTCCATGTCCGAAAGCTGCTGTTTGATGTATTTTGTTCTGTTTTCTAGCTTTTTATTTTGAAGGGCAAGTTCCATACTCCTTCATAGCTAGAAGCAAAAATCTGTTCCTTC